TCTTCTCAAAGATCACTTTACTCACCAAAAACAAATAAATACTGAATAACTGAACTTATTAAATTGTATATTTAAAAGTTTCTCACAAATTCTATCAACATAAATTGTTACCTAAAACCATATCTAACTTTATTAATTTTTAAATACACTACCTAACAAAAACTCCATACGACTGAATGTAAACAATGCATGCAACCATATGACTGTACTTTGTAATACCATTTGTGCTTTATGTTATCTGTTTACAATAATGAATTATCCCCCCCCATAATTTCATCATTGCGTAGTTAATTTTAATGCCAGCCCGAAATGCTATGCCATAGTATAGTGGCTTTGGCATGCTGCTCTTATCTGTATTTTTTTGTACCTCTGTATGTATGCTCAATTGTAAATAAATAAATAAATAATAAATAAATAAAAAAGAAACCCGGATCACACGTCTCAGCCACCTAATTGAACACATACTTTGGTAACCGCGCTGAGAACATTAGTCAGTCAGGCGTCATACCACAGGTCCTTCGTTGATCATTTTCATCATTTTACTGCACCAGGACAAATCACTAGGGATAGGATAGGCCTACACAGGACAATAAAAATTGAGGTCAACTAGAATCTACAGTACAGAAAGAAACACTGGTAAAAAGGCTACACAATGTGATCTGGTGACCAGAGTAACAAGTTGCACGGACGTCAAACGGTGCCTGTCGCGAAAAATTCAAAACAATTGTCACTATCCATTTTACTAAATATTAGCAACCAGTTAAAGAGGGTTTAGGATTAAACGAAGAACTGAACCCTGGATGACTACTGAGATATTAGATAATATGAAATTCAGAGACCACTGCATAAAAAGATTTAAAGCAAACAGACAGGAATATTGCAGCACTAAAATGAATTACAAAGGGTGAGGAACAGGAGAGTACAGAGGCTTATAAAAGAAGCAAAGGCAAAGCACTATTCCGCTCAAAAAATTGAAGAGTATAAGCATACCCCAGGAAAGCTCTGGCAACAACTAAAACAGTGGGGTATAGCCATAAGCCAGTAGCATAGGTCATAACATAGTACTCACTATCGATAATGAGGTATGCCAACGAAACATCTTAAGGTGGCAAATATGCTTTTAATTCCTACTACACTCTGTTGCATCAACACTTAGTAAGTAAAACTACCAGCTGCATCAAAATACCTTTTAACACTGACTCTGATAAGTTTCAAACATACTATACCAATAAATGGGTAACCCCAAAACAGATTTGTTAAACTAGTATAAGTGTATTCATGACTTCATTTCAAAAAGAACTAAGCAGGTTAAACCAACCTAGAGACCAGGCCCTGATAACAATCCCGTCTAAGTTCCTAAAAGATGGTGTTCGAACGTTGTCAATTCCTATTGCTCACATAATAAATCTATCAAATCACCATAATACCGTACCGGAGGGGTTCAAGGAGGCCAGAGTTACTCCTATCTTCAAAGAAAAAAAATAATAGGTCTGATGTTAAGAACTATAGACCTGTTAGTATACTCAGTATAATATCTAAAATTCTGGAGAGGGCGGTGTATTCTCAAGGTAGTTAAGTACCTTAATTAATGACAACAGCATTCTCCATAGCTATCAATCGGGGCTTTAGAAGATCCTACTCAACCCGATACCTCCCTTTTAAATCTGATGGATTACCTGAGACCTGAAATGTCAAAAGGGAACCTCATCGGTGATGGGTAACCTTAGACCTGCAAAAAGGCTTCATACTGTTCAACCACAATATATATGCTAAGAAACTCAAGCTATCGGTATAGGTTCTTAGACTGGTTTAAGTCCTACCTTAGCAACAGGAGACCAAATAGTCAAAAATTCACAAAACGGAATCAGAACCCCTGCGATAACATGTGGAGTTCCCCAAGGTAGTATTCTTGGGTCCCTTACTATTCTTATGTTTTTTTCTGTTCAATGATATGCTATCAGTGTCAAAGTGCAAGTGCAAACTCCTACTGTATGCAGAGATGACAGTGCTCTGTTGTGACAGGTAAAGGGACCCACCAAAGATATTGCCTAATGTTTATAACACTGGAACTGGAGTCCTGCAGCAAAAAAATTGGTTAGTAGACAACAAACTATCATTACACCTAGGGAAAAACTGAAGCAAGCCATTCTCTTTGTGAAACGAAACATAAACTGAGAAGGGGTAAATAATTTTAATGTTCAGTGTAATGGGAGTCCATCACTTGGTTTCATCAGTAAAACATCTGGGAATCCCCTTGGACCCATGCATGTCAGGAGAATTGATAGGGAAACAGTGTAGTAAAGTAAAGCGAATGCAGACTGAGTTGTATAGACAAGCACAGTGTCTACCTACTGAGGCTCGCAGGGACCCTATGTCTAGCCCTTATACAATGCCATAGGATGACGCTACTTGCTCTTCATGGTACTCTGCCTTGACCAAAAAAAAAACAGAAAGGATAGACTGCAAATCACCCAGAACATAATCGTAAGATTCATTTTTGTTTTTATTTTCCTGGGCTGGGGACCAAGAGAAACATGTAGGCCAGGGTGAATTACAGCTTGTTGGATATGCTGAATGTTGAAGACAGGAGTAAAAACAACTGAAAGCTAAATATGTTATAAAATTGCTCACGAACGTGTGTCCAGAATTATCTTGCTGTCAATTTTTTGTCAGGTTGGGAACAAAGCAATATAGTACTAGGGGGAGAGAGCCAACTTTGTGTACCCACAGTCAGTGGCTCCAGGCGTCAAACACTTTTTTGTACAGGAATAGAGAGATGGAACAGACTACCCGCACATGCCAAGCCAGTTGATAGCATGAGCCCAGTTCAAGAAGAAGACTGCCAAAAAGTGTTCTGATGAATGAAGCTAACAGAAAGGGAAGGGGAATGATTTTCTATTTTTTAGCTAAAATACGTTGTAAATTTTACCTTATCTCTAGTAATGAACCCTCGTATTGTAGATTGTCTTAATGACCTCGTGTAGTAGATAGTCTTTTTAGTATGATAATAAGATGTTATCTTCATTGTAGAATAATAAGAAATGATTATAACCTTTATAGTATAAATAAATTGAATGTTATAAGGACCCAATGGAAGAATAAGTCACTCTGTCTGACTTTTTTGGGTTTCTAGGTTCTCTACACATATGCTGCTATGTATGATAATTCTATGTAACTGTATTTGTGTATACCTGAATAAATTTACTTACTTACTTACTTACTTGGACTTCCAGCAAGCGTGCGTGAGCGTGTTAGACAGGAGTGAATGGAGACAAGTGGCTTTTAATACTTGACGTGCTGTTGGAGTGTAAGCAAGGTAACATTTATGAAGGGGTTCAGGTAAACCGGCAGGCCGGACTTGAGTCCTGGAGATGGGAAGTATAGAGTCTGCACTCTGAAGGAGGGGTGTTAATGTTGCAGTTTTATAACTTTTTTTATTATTCGCCGGTATTCTCCCGGCCCGGGCCTTTTCCAAGAGTGGTGACCCGGCCTTAGCTCCCTATCTGAGGAGTGTCTCGAGACCTAAGTCTCCCATGGGAGGAGGTACAAGTACCACCTCATCTTTGGGACCAAGTGTCCCCAGGCCTAGCCACAGTCCCCGCCCTCACGGTGGCTCGTAGGAGATGCTAGGCTTCCTCTGGTGTTCCATCTGCCCCGGCCCCATAGGAGCTCGTGGGGATGGCAGTGTTGTGGGCTGCAGGAGGTAGTAAGCTCAGGTTATACTCTTATGTTTTATATCTGTAGTGTAGGCGTCCCCCTGGCAAGACAGTGATGGAGTGAATGATGAAAGTTTTTCTTTTTCAGGTGAAGTCAATAGTCCTTGAAACTAGGGCTCAGGTGAAGTTAATAGTCCTTGAAACTATGAATCAGGTGAAGTCAATAGTCCTTGAAAATATTAATCAGGTGAAGTCAATAGTCCTTGAAACTAGGACTCAGGTGAAGTTAATAGTCCTTGAAACTATGAATCAGGTGAATTTAATAGTCCTTGAAACTATGAATCAGGTGAAGTCAATAGTGTCCTTGTTAATATTATCAGGTGAAGTCATAGTCCTTGAACTAGGACTCAGGTTGAAGTTATAGTCCTTGAAACTATGAATCAGGTGAATTTAATAGTCCTTGAAACTATGAATCAGGTGAAGTCAATAGTCCTTGAAAATATTAATCAGGTGAAGTCAATAGTCCTTGAAAATTGGGCCTCAGGTGAAGTTAATAGTCCTTGAAACTATGAATCAGAACCCCTCAAGGAAGGTTCCTTGATGTTGGTGAGGGGCTCTTGATTTAGGGAATTGGATCTGTGCTCCAGTTCCCCGAATTAAGCCTGAATGCCTTCCACATCCCCCCACCCAGGCGCTGTATAATCCTCCGGGTTTAGCGCTTCCCCTTGATTATAATAATAATAATATGAATCAGGTGAAGTCAATAGTCCTTGAAAATATTAATCAGGTGAAGTCAATAGTCCTTGAAACTAGGACTCAGGTGAAGTTAATAGTCCTTGAAACTATGAATCAGGTGAAGTCAATAGTCCTTGAAAATATTAATCAGGTGAAGTCAATAGCCCTTGAAACTAGGACTCAGGTGAAGTTAATAGTCCTTGAAACTATGAATCAGGTGAAGTCAATAGTCCTTGAAAATATTAATCAGGTGAAGTCAATAGTCCTTGAAACTAGGACTCAGGTGAAGTTAATAGTCCTTGAAACTATGAATCAGGTGAAGTCAATAGTCCTTGAAAATATTAATCAGGTGAAGTCAATAGTCCTTGAAACTAGGACTCAGGTGAAGTCAATAGGATTTAAACCACGATTCATGTAAAGTTAATAGTCCTTAAACGATGACACAAGTTGAATGACCTTAAACTTTAGAAACTAAAACTAGAAATAGTCAATATATTAACAGTTTGATTCTGATATCAAAATTTAAAAACAAATAAATGTGATTTTTACAAATGTCATTGTGGAGTGAATAAATGTTTTTTATCAATGTTGTTGTCAGTGTTGATGTGTAAGCGACTAGATCTTTCTTCATCGTCACACGGATTTGACTCACCTTTTTAGTGCCACATAAATTACCTGCGAGTTCTTTTTGACCATTAAGTACCATTTTTTAATTATTCGTTTATGTAGCAAGAGGCCTACGTGATTATATAACGTAAAGTGGTTGTTTTATATATTTTTTTTCTGATTTTACGAAGGTATTCGACTGGCGTGATGTCAAGTCGTATGTGAATAGTTAAAATATAGTTCACAATGGGAAATGTTTCAGAAATATATTGTTACTTTAAGAGTGTGTGAAGAAAGGGTTTAATTAACGTACCGAGGATGGTGTGCAGAAAGTAAAATATAGTTATGGGGGTTGTGCGTTGGGGGGCCTCCTTATTAACTAATTTTTTTTTTTTGCCTGTGACATATATACAGCTTTGTATGAGAGATTTTGTTAAAATTATAATAAATCAGCATTAATAGTATAGACTAAGGGCACCAGTGTCAAGTTATGCTTATATTAGGTTAATTTGTTAAATTTATAATATTGCGTTTTTTTTTCCTTGTACTATAATGTTCTGTGACTAATTTGCAGTTTGCAGATTTAGAAAACTGTATAAATATAAACTGTAAACACAATAAGAGGAGGAAAAGGGTATGTTTATATTAGAATACAGTAATTCTGAACTATGTTAAGTTACTCTTAATGTTGGTAGCTGTCAGGAAATGATGACTGCCACTTGATATCCTCTCATTTTGATAGCTGTCATTGGCAGTTCTCATTTTGGTAGCTGTCCGTATATATTTTCTGATTTGATAGCTGTCAATATATATTATCTCATTTTGATAGCTTTTATGGGTTTATGCTTTCCTTCTGGTAGCTCTCATAAATATTTTCTCATTTAATAGGTACAAGGGGTATAAGTTTTTCATTTTGGTAGATAAATGAGAAGATATGTTGCTATCCCAGTATATCTCAATGAGTATGTGCCAAAATGTCAGTGTTGCTTGGTGCTGGCTTATTCTGATAATAATAATAATGGTAATATAATATCTTTATTTCTACAAGTACATGTACAAGGTATACAGGTCTAGCTGACATCAGTGACATACTACAGTACTACATAGAAAGCCGCTTGTTATGCAGAGCATTTCAGGCAAATTAGGTCAATTTTGTCCCAGGATGCAACCCACACTAGTCGACTAACATCCAGGTGCCCATTTATATAGGACCTCAATGGAAATAAGTCACTCTGACTTTTTTGGGTTATCCTAGGTTCTCTACACATATGCTGCTGTGTATGATAATCTATGTAACTGTATACCTGAATAAACTTGCTTACATTTTACTGATAGGGAACATAGACAACTGGTGTAAAGAAACATGCCCAATGTTACCCTCGCCGGGAATCGAACCTGGACCCTCACCGTGTGAAGCAAGAACTTTAGCCACCAGGCCATGGGGCAAAAATTTAGTATCATCTCATCCCTAATCTCAAAAACTTTTTCAAGAAAATAATTTGTGTTTAGAGTATAAATTTTAAAACTTGTACATATTAGAATTTTATTAAAAATTAAACACTTTTAATAAATATTTGTGTTTGTAAACCAATGTCTTCTATTTAAGAAACAAACTACATATTATTGTTGTATAAATTACTTGAAAAAATTATTGTAGGTTCATGAATTTCCTACTTGCAGGTCTTAGTGAGCAGTCATGAATCGTCTTTTTGGTCGTGGTAAACCCAAGGAACCCCCTCCAAATCTTCAGGATTGCATTGGAAATGTCGACAGTAGGGCAGACTCTATTGAAAAGAAAATTTCTAGATTGGATGCTGAACTCGTGAAGTACAAAGACCAGATGAAAAAGGTAATAGTGCAGTGTTTAACATTAATAATTTTTCTGCCCTAGGCAGCACTGCAGAGATCTGTCTGAACTGTATATTTTTTTAAATTCCTTAATGAATGTGCATGCTGTACTATATAATATTTGGAAAACATTACTTCCAGTTGTTAATTTGGGAAACTAATTTTAATTTTCTGCCTTTAAAAAATGGGGATGGGAGGTTATATATACGTATTTAGTTTTGACCAAATGTAGATCTGTGTTCTCTCACCCAGCTCTCCAAATATTAAAAAAAAAAAAAAAAAAAAAAATTTAATAAAGAGGACATTTTTTTACATAATGTTAAAAAAAAAAATTAGAACCAGTACTTACTGAGATATGAGACTGCAAAGTTGGCACTGGATGCTCACTTGATGGCAACATCAAGTCCTGCCGCTTGCCTGCACTCTAAAGGAGGGGTTCGGGATATTAGCAGTTTTTTGGATGAGAGGGATTTGTTGTGTATCTTTTATACATATATGCTTCTAAACTGTTGTGTTCTGAGCACCTCTGCAAAAACGGTGATTATGTGTGAGTGAGGTGAAAGTGTTGAGTGATGAAAGTATTTTCTTTTTGGGGATTTTCTTTCTTTTTGGGTCCCCTGCCTCGGTGGGAGACAGCCTACTTGTTGAAAAAAAAAAAAAATAATTTTTATGTTCTTATAATTACAATTTATAATAGTTCTTGTGATTTCATAGCCAATATTTGTTCTGACATTAATATTAGGTACTGAAATAGTACATACTCAAACAGTCACAATCACACCGACAGGTGAACATTTTCATCTGCCCTGGTCATTTACTATTGTCTAGAAATATATACAAAGTATTTATAGGTCTCAGCAATGTTTTAAACATGCTGGAGTATATGTGAAACTTCTTGAAGCATGGTGTTTGGGACGAGTGTCACTAAACTGCTGACAGGGTAAGCAGTGGAGTGACACTTGATGATGACTGTTACACACAAACATTTATGTCTGTCTGTCTATGTCTGTATCTGTCTAGCCCTGCTTATCTGTCTGTCTGCCTGCCTGTGTGTGTATCTTACCGTCTGCTTGTCTTAGTCTTAGAGAGTGGCTCGTAAACCAACAGGCATTACACACGATGCAGTACTCTGATTCCTGATGAAGTGAAAATGCATATTACAAGCACTGTACAGCACTTTGCCTGGAATTTTTGGGTTATCCTAGGCAATTTACACTATGTATAATAACTGTACATTGGTACCTTGAATTTCGAACAGTTCCCAACTCGAACGGTTATGTAAGTGTATTTTTGTAAGTGTATATTTGGGGGTCTGAAACGGACTAATCTAATTTACATTATTCCTTAGGGGAACAAATTTGTTCGGTAATGGCACCCGAACAGCCTTCTGGGACAAATTAAGCCCGAAATTTGAGGTACCACTGTACTTATGTGTACATGTGAGAGAGACAGATATATAGACTGACAGAGATATAGACTGACAGAGATATAGACCAATGGAGATATAGACCAATGGAGATATAGACCAACGGAGATGTAGACCAACAGATACAGACAGAGAGACAGCATTGGTATTAAAAATGAAAGGATGTTGCACAAATGTTACACATGGGTTATTATCAAGGTTTTTCATATTTCTTCAACCACTTGTGGTCACATCCATCACTCCTCTTAAAAGGAAAGTGTTAATGTATACCTTACCTTTGGTATACTTTTGAAGAGTTTTGAGAGTTTATCTACTCTTTGAGCCCGGCCATGGGCCAGGCTCGTCTGGTGCTTGCCTGGTCAACCAGGCTGTTGCTTGCCTGGTCAACCAGGCTGTTGCTGCTGGAGGCCTGCTGCCCCACATATCCATCACAGCCTGGTTGATCTGACAACTGGTGAAGATACTTGTCCAGTTTCCTCTTGAAGGCTTCTACACTTGTTCCAGCAGTGTTTCTGATATCTTCTGGTAAGATGTTGAAAAGTCTGGGACCCTGGATGTTAATACAGTGTTCCCTTATTGTCCCCACTGCACCCCTGCTCCTCACTGGGTTTATTTTACACTTCCTCCCATATCTCACTCCAGTATGTTGTTATGGCAGTGTGCAGATTTGGGACCAAGCCCTCTAGTACCTTCCAGGTATATATTATCATGTACCTCTCTCTCCTCTGCTCCAATGAGTACATGTTCAAGACTTGCAGGTGTTCCCAGTAGTTTCGGTGCTTTACTGGCTCAATGTGAGCCATAAACGATCTCTGTATTTGTTCCAGCTCCGATATTTCTCCTGCCTTGAACGGGCCGTCAGCACTGAGCAATATTCCAAGTGAGGGAGCACTAGCGATTTGAAGAGTGTCACCATCGGCATTATTTCCCTTGTTTTGAAAGTTCTCAATACCCACCCTGTCATCTTCCTGGCTGTCGTGATCTTTGTCTTGACGACATGACATTAGTGAATCCCTGGTGTTTGCCACGCTATTTGCTGTACCTGGCACTCAATTGAAATGGTGCTCCCACAAGGTAGTAAGTGGTCCCAGATTTTTTTAATACTGCACATACCGAGTGTTAATACCCATTCTATGCTGACCAGGCATCTCAGGCCAATCGTGCCAAATTTGGAGACGGGAAAAGTAAAATGTAGATCTACGTTTGGAGCATTAGCGGTAAGAACATAGATCTACGTTTGGACAGTTAAGGGGTTTAAATAACAGGAAAATGTGATTTTTTTTGGGCACATGCCTTAGTCATTTATGATTTTGCGCATTATTCGGGTTTGTTTTAGCACCCAAGTTTGGGGGTTTTCCGTTTTACATTAATATAATCTGTAATTTTAAGTTTTTTGTCGAATTCTTGTATGAAAATTTTTTTTTCCCCATGGGATATCTTTTAAACCTGTAAGTCTGTAAATTAAAACCCCATTGCAAAAAGCTTTTGTTTTTTTTTGTGGGTTTTTTATGATTATCCGGGCCCCCAAAAGTTTAAAAAAAAAAAAAAAGTCTGAAATACAAAACTTTAAAAAAAGCAGTAAAAAGCTTTTTTTCATTTTTAATCTGTTCTTTTTTCATATATTTTAAATTACATTTTTTGGGTTATATCCCAATCCCAAATGTGCTTTTTTTAAATTTATGGGGTCTGAACATTTCTGGCAGGACGGGGGGTTAAATAAAATAAAGGTAAAATTTATTCTCTTTTTTGGGTTACCTCCCGGGGTGGAAGATGGCCGTGTTTTTTAAAAAAAAAAAAAAGATGCATGTTTTAAATCCCAATTTGGGATGGAATGGGATGGAACAAAATTATCTAAAATTTGTATTGAGGGAAGAAACAAAACTCAAGGAGTCATAAAGTGCCTGTGAATGAGAATACCCGGGAAATGTTTCCCAAGGAAAGGGGGGCACTCCAGGGGAAAGAGCTTTTCACCAGGATTAAAACACCCCTCCCATAAAGAAGGGAAAATTGGGGGAATAAATATTGAGTCTACATGCCCGGAATAAAAAGTATTTTAAAAGAACAATTTTTAAAACCAAAAAGTACCAAAAATTTCTTTTAACTCATCCATTTCTTTAAAATTGGTTAAGTATTTCGGGGGTGGATTTTTCAGTTTTTTGGGGAAAAGGCATATCTTCCATGCAGCAATTGCTAAACTATTCATACAAAATTTACCATTTTTTTTTAAAAAAAATAAAAAAACCAAGTTAATTGAAAACTTTGCCAGAGGTAACACTTGTTTAAATTTTTCTTGTGTAATTTTAAATTTGTTTTTTCCCCCAAAAAATTGAACCTCTATTTTTTCAAGGGGCAATTGGATTTTAATTTTAATTTTACCCTTTTTTAAGAAATTTTTATTGAAATTTTCCCCCGGCATTTCACTGAACCACAAATTTTAAAAACAAAATTGGCTTTTATTAAGTGGGCTTTTTTGTACTCTTTAAAAAAAATTTTTTTAAAATTTAATTGCTTGGGTTAAACCAAAGTTTAACATGGGTTTGGGGAAAATTTTTTTGGGGGTCAATTTCATTTTAAAATTTTTAAGTTTTTTTTTAAAAATTTTTTTTTTTTTTTTTTTTTCAAAAGTGGTCTCCCCCGACTCCCCAAAAAAAAAAGGGTTTAAAAAGTCTTTATAATTTAATTTCCCAAAAACATTAAAAGGTTTTCCAATTTTAAAATAAAACTTAAAAAAGGATAAGAAAGAAAAAAATAATCCAAATGTAAAAATTTTTAAAATTTGAATTTTTTATTTATTTATTTTTTTTTTTTTTTTTTTTTTTTAAAACAATATCCCCCCACCCGAGGCGGGGTTTGACCCCCAAAAAAAAGAAAAGAAAAAACCCCCCCAAAAAAAAAACCCCCCTTTTCCTTACCTTAACACCAAACCCCACCCCATTACCCCCCTTTTTTTCCAATTTTTCAGAATCCCCCCGGTTAAAGGCTTTTTTAAGTACAACAATTTTTAATCCCCTCCAAAAAGCCAAACCCCCAAAACCCCCTTTAAAAGGCCCATCCATTTTTTCCCCTTCCATTTCCGGCCCTCTGCCAACTTTTTTAAAAAAACTTTCCCCAAAATCCCTTTTAAAAACTTAAAAAACCCCTCCCCAAACTCCAAAATCGTAAAAACCCCATATAACTCCCAAAAAACCATACCAACCCCTTCCCAGCTTTTTAATTTTCGCCCCTTTCCCCCCCCTTTCCCCCCTTTTTCCCAAACCCCTTTCAACAACCCCTCCCACCCTTCCCCAAAATTTAAATTTTCCTTAAACCCCCCCCCTTTAACCTTCCCAAAAAACCAAACCCAACCTTTAAACAAACCCTTTTTTTCTTTTACTAATTTTTTTAATTAACCCCCCCTCCCAAAAACCCTTTTCTCCAATTTTTCCCAACATTCCGTTTTTTTTCTGCATTTTTTTTTAAACACCACACTTTCCCCTTAGACAGGACATCTCCATTTCCCTTTTCCAACCGTTCCTGGGGGCTGCGGGGGGGCATTTACCCCCGGGGGGGCCCACATCCAAGAAAAGGGGGAAGGG